TATCCGATTGATGTACCTGCTCCTGGCTTGTAATAAATAATTAGGACATTTATTTATTTTACCGCTTTTATTTTATTTTCAAAGGGTTTCTTTTGGCGATGTAAATACCCGACGCCTTGTAATAATTTAGTTTAATTTCCGCACCTTTAATTTCTGCAAATTATATAATTGCTAGATGTTTCGTAATAGGGTTTGCATGATAAGAATGAATGTCTAATTTAAAACAGTTAGATCACCCTAAACATGTGCAAAGATAAAAATAATTGAAATCAACACACTCGCACATGCGCACTCCTAGGGTACACCCCACTTGGTTGCCTTCGTACACGGTCATTAAGTATAGGTCGTTTTAGAGGTCGTCCTCTTTTCTAAAAGATCATAGTCGCCTCGAAATGGTTGCCTCGGATATTATTGGCTCAAACAAATGATTTAAGACATTAGGGTTGCTGCTAAGGCGTCCTAACATTGCTTTAGTGACCCTATGTCCCTCTTTCGAGATGACCCTCAAACTCCAACGACGGTGCTACCTACTCACTAATAGTAGGATAGCATTGTCTAAAGGAAATTAGCATAGAACGATTTCTTTTTCGAGTAGGTAGATTAGTTCTTAGATACTCGCTCAACAAAACAAATTTTCCACACTTACACTCTTTTCACAAACAAGTTTTCAAAACACTTCATTACACTCTTGAGGACAGAAGCAAGAGTTAAATCGAAGTTAAAACAAAAAATTTTCAAAACCCACAAACACAAAGAAAACAATTTTGAAAACAATGAGCAAGTATCTAAGAGCCTGTGGATAACCACAGATAGAAAGGGTGCTAATACCTTCCCTTTCTATAATCTACCTCCCGTACTCAGAATATCTCGAAAAAGGTATTTTTCTGTGCTTTTTTCCTTTCCTTGTTGGATAAAATAAAAGTCGATGGTGACTCTTGCTTACCGCGACATTTTGCAAACACAAACGTAAAACGCAAACCAGCATTCCAAAAAACAATCAGTTCTTCCCACCGTATCACACCTACTATCCATAATTTCATCTCGAAGTAACCCTACTATCCAGGTTCCTTCTCACAGCCCTACCATCCAGGCTTTCATATCGAAGTAACCTTATTATCCAGGTTCCTTCTCACAACCCTACTATCCAGGCTTTCATACCGAAGTAACCCTACTATCCAGGTTCCTTCTCACAGCTCTACTATCTAGGCTTTCATACCGAAGTAACCCTATCATCCAGGTTCCTTCTCACAGCCCTACTATCCAGGCTTTCATATCGAAGTAACCCTACCATCCAGGTTCCTTCTCAGCAGCCCTACTATCTAAGCTTTCATATCGAAGTAACCCTACTATATAGGTTCCTTCTCAGCAACCCTAATATCCAAGATTTCGTATTGAAACAACCCTATTATCCAAGTTCCTTTTCATAACCTTACTATCCAGGTTCCCCCTCTCTTATCCCCAAGCAGTGGTCCAACATTGTAAGACCGGGACCCAATCAAACATGATTGGTTTCGCATTTCCCCAGTAAATCGTGGTGCAGCATATACTCCGACTAAACAAACAGTTTAGTACCGCTTCCCAAACTAGAATTATTCCCCAGTAGAGTAACGGACAACTGAAGCTCCTAAAACTCTATTTCTCTCAAGACAGAGACCAGCATTCCCCAGTGAAGTCCTCCTCAACAACAGGTATACGGGCTCTCACAAAGGAATCTCTTATGCGATCGACACTCCTTCGGGTGGAATCTTTAAGCCCATCTCCGACAATTCTCTAGAAATTACCAAATGGAATCTATAAGCCCATTTCCGACATCACAAATCAAGTATCACTTCATGCGAGTGCAAATTTCTGGGCACTCTAGTGTCCAATCATCTTCCACCTTCAGATCACGAAAGGTAGAACAACCAATCTACATCCTCAAGTTTAAGAAGATTGAACAGGGGCAGCTGTTGTACCTCAAAATTTTACCTCCCATATTTCTCAACAAATGTCATGTGAGGTCCCCAAATTTCTCAAGGAAGTTCAAGAGTTGACCAGACAAACTCTCTCCTAAGGCAGTATACCTCAAATTAGGGTTTCATTTTTCATCATGATGCTTGAGTCCAAAGGATCCCAAATGCCTTCCATTGTCCTAATATGTTCTCAAGATCATCCATGTCAAGTTTCAAGCCTTGCAGAAGAAGTTTGCTCAGTCAATTACTCAAATGCCTGAAAATCAAATGTGCTAGGTCAAAAGTCAACTGTGAACCACATACAGTCATACCTCAAGATTTTTGGTCAACATCCTTATTTTAAAGTGTTATCCATCATTTTATCAATGGTTGATCATGATTCCTCAAGGATGGCTCACAATTCATCAAAACCCAAAAGTTGCTAAATTAGGGTTTTGTAGGAAAAGTCAACTCAACTTTGACCAAGCATAACTTTCTCATGCTTTATCAGCAATGACCCATCCAAAGCTCATTTTGAAGAGGATGCAATTCCCTACAATTCATCTTCAGCTCCAAAGTTCAAAATATGCACTGACAAGAAGATATGAATTTTGACATTATAGGTCATTTTGGAAAGTCAACAAAAACACCTTTTGGGTCAAAGCTTCATACATGAAAATGGAAGACCCAATTGAGATGAGACCAAACGGGTTGCTTAGAGTACATCCTAAGATTTCTAAAAAGTCAAAGAACACCTCTGATGGAGGATGTGATAGGATTGCAAAGGAGAAACTTTTGACAGTTCAAAGTAATAGTTCATGATTAAAAATCTAGTTTTTAGGGGAGATATTTCTATTGACATGCATCCAGTAGGAATTGAATCTACGACTTCTCCAATTATGAGTTGGGTGATTTAACCATTCAGCCATGGATGCTTCGAGGGAACAACCCTCCGACTTCATGAATAACCAATTTTCAATTGAAGTGAAATCTTTTGGATAAATCAATAGAAAGACATACATAAAGAGATAACTTAATAGAAAAACATACATAAAGAGATAAATTAATAGAAAGACATACATAAAGAGATAACTTAATAGAAATACATACATAAAGAGATAACTTAATAGAAATGCATACATAAAGAGATAACTTAATAGAAAGACATACATAAAGAGATAACTTAATAGAAAGATATATATAAAGAGATAACTTAATAAAAAGACATACATAAAGAGATAACTTAATAAAAAGACATACATAAAGAGATAATTTTTTTTAAATTTTTTTAAGGAGTAGAGTATCCTATGAAGAACAATCAATTTCGCTTTTGGATTTTCGAATTGCGAGAAATTTTTAGAGAGGGCAAGAATTGTGCCTATTTCTTAGATTCCTTGACGCAATTTAATTCATCAGTATCTGTCATTCACATTTTTTCCATCAAGAGAGTTTGATAAAAGTCTTAGACTCCCGAATTTTGAGTATCCTAGTTTTACGTCATTCACAGGGTTTAACAAGAAATCAATATTTCACGATCAAGAATGTAGTACTTTTTGTAGTAGCGATCCTTCTATATCATATTAACAATCAAGGATGATCGGAAAAAATATATTTGATAGGGCTTCTTCCTATACAAATAAATTACATTGGATCCAACAATGATAGATTGGAAGACTCAAAATATTCGTTCAATATCAATAAGTTGATTGTTCCGCTCCTGTCTGGTCCAAAATAAATAAAAAAAGATCTTTGGTCGCTCTTTTTTCTCGGACAGATGGTCTGAACTTCATCTGGATTTGAATCCTACTGAGAAGTCCGCTCAAGATCTTCAATTATTAAAGAAAGAAGAAGATGTTTCTTTTGTTCTTTGGAGGAAATTGGAAAAGAAAGAAATAGTCAATATAGTTAAGATAATCATGCATTTACAAAATAATGTCTCAATTCATCCTATTTCATCCGATGGAGGATGTGATAGGATTGCAAGGGAGAAACTTTTGACAGTTCAAAATAATAATTCATTCTTGACCAAAAATCTAGTTTTTGGTTTATTTCATCTATTCCATGACCAGAATAGGGGGTACTTGTTAAATCGCAATTTTCAATCAGAAGAGAGATTTCAAGAAATGGAAAATCTATTTAATCTAAAAAGAGGAAAAAACCTCTAAAATAATCCTTGGAAAAGGGAACATGTATAGAAACTTTCAAAGAAAAAGAAAAAGAAAGAGCATTTTTTCAACTCTCTCCAAATTGAAGTGATTACACCCGTATATAATATCGTTGTTCCTTACCTGGACAGGGCACAAATATATAAATTTCGCAGTTTTAGATACTCTTTCAGACCTATTTGTGATACTAAGGAGGAGTCCTAAATTAAAAAAATTTGTATCTATTTTGCATAATATTATGCATGGATCCAAGGGAAGTCTTCGGAAAAAACTGTGGGGAATTCTTCGGAAAAACTGTGTCTTTCACAACGGAATCGTATATGTGAGATTTCGAGTAAGTCTTTCCATAATTTTCTTGTAGACATGTAAAAAGATCTTTTTCACACAAATAATGAGTCACCATTCATATCGACATATCTGAGATCACAAAATATTGAGGAGTTCTTGGTTTTAATCCTTTTACTTCTTCTTGTTATTGGATATCTTGTTTATACACATCTTTTCTTTATTTCTCGCTTCTCTAATGAGTTACAGATAGAGTTCGAACATGTCAAATGTTTGATGATTCCATCCTACATCATTGAATTGCGAAAACTTATGGATAGGTATCCTCTATCAGGATAAAATTCTTTCTAGTTAAAGGATATCTTTCGAGTTGCTCGAGAATAATTAGGAAATTTTTTAGAAGAAAGGCGAGGTTTGCCTTCTGACGGGGACATCCCAAGGGGTGGTGGTTTCGCTGATGGGGTTAAATCTATACGCTCGAAGAAGAACAGTTTTAATCTCATGGATCTCATAAGTGTTATACCAAATCCCATCAATCGAATCCCGTTTTTGAGAAATACGAGACATTTAAGTCATACAAGTAAAGCAATCTATTCATTGATAAGGAAAAGAAAAAAACATGAATAATAATTGGATTGATGATAAAATAGAATCCTGGATCTTGACCAATGATTTCATTGCTGATAAAGAAAGAGAATTCTTGGTTCAGTTCTCTACCTTAACGACAGAAAAAAGGCTGGATCAAATTTTATTGAGTCTGACTAATAGTGATCAGTTATCAAAGAATAACTCTGGTTATCAAATGATTGAGAAACCAGGAACAATTTACTTACGATATTTAATTGACATTCGTAAAAAGGATTTGATGAATTATGAGTTCAATATATCCTGCTTAGCAGAAAGACGAGTATTCCTCGCTCATTATCAGACAATCACTTATTCAAAAATCCCGCGTGGGGCTAGTTGTTTGGATTTCTCATCTCATGTGAAACCCTTTTCACTATGCTTATCCCTATCCTCTGCTAGGGGTATTTTAGTGATAGGTATGTTCCTTTCATTACAGTATTTGTAAACAAGTTCCTGGATAACTTTCCTAAGGGTTTTAATAGTGATGATAGTGAGGACGACATGTTTGATGAAAGAGAGGGTACCATTTACAGTCTTTTACCTAATAACGAGGGTAGTTGCTATAATTCTGATAATTATGAAAGGGATGATAGTGACGATCTCGACCGTAAGCTTGATAGCCAGTTGAAGTTTCTAAGTATGGAGGATCCGGCATCTAGCAATCTGATAGAAATAGACTGTTTTTATCTCACGCTTCAATTCGAATTAGCAAAAGCAATGTATCCTTGCATAATTTGGATTCCAAACATTCATGATCTGGATAGGAATGAGCCAAATGTCTTATCGTTGGGTATATTAGTGAACTCTCTTTCCAGCGATTTAGAAAAAGGTTCTATTAGAAATATTTTAGTTATTGCTTCTACTCATATTCCAAAAAAAGTAGACCCTGCTTTAATAGCTCCGAATAAATTAAGTACATGCATTAAGATACGGAGGCTTTTGTGATACGGTGGTAGAACCGACTGTTATATTGGTTTTGTGTTTATGTTTGCAAATGTTGCAATAAGCAAGAGTCGCCACCGACTGTTCGAGAATTTTCTGAGTAAGAGGGTAGATTATGGAAAGGGAAGGTGTTAGCACCCTTTCCATTCGTAGTTTTCTACGGGCTCTTAGATGCTTAGCTCATTTTGAAATACCTTGTGCTTTGTGTGTTTTTGAAAAGAAGTAGTTTGAAAATGCATTAGTGCGGCAATTCACTTTATGATAACTCTTGTATAAGTCCTCAAGAGTGTTGATAAAGTGAATGTTTTTTGAAAGTGTTTTTTGAAATGTTTTTTTGTAAGTGCAAATGTTTTTTTGAGAAAGCATCTAACAACTATCTACTTGTACTCGAAAAGGTTCATTATTTTCCTCATATCCTTTAGACAGTGATATCCTTCTATTAGTGAGTAGGTAGCCCTATCATTGGATGTTTGAGGGACATTCGAAGGGATGTACAGTCATAAAGGAAACATGTAGAGATGCTTTAACAATTTTGTTTAGGGACTAGATCATTTACCCAAAGGCAACTGTAGGGTCATCGAGGGACTATGATCTTTTGATTTACGGGTCTTTTGCTAAAGCGTCCCTATTTTCGAGGGACATGACTGTTTTATTTCAAAAAGGCAACCAAAGTGGGCATACCTTAGAGGTGTATATGTGCAAATGTGTTGTATTCAGTTATTTTTGTCTTTTTTGTTAGTTTTACTAGTGTTTTGATTTTAATCTTTGCCATACAATCCTATTAGTCACACATCCAGCAGTTAATATGAAAGCAATAGAAAATGCGGAAAATAAGTGTCCTACGCTATTACAACCAAATTGAAAGGCAAGAAAATGTAAAAACAAGAACAAAATAAAGAGGGGAAGTGAGTCCTTTGATCCAGGAAGTAGACTCCTTCGATTCACCCTTCTTTTGCTTTCTTTCGATTGAGATTGGGAGTTGGCGTGAGCAACCTTTGATTGCACCCTTTCCTGCTTCTTTCAATTGAGCTTGAGAGTTGGTATGAGCAAACTTCGATTGCACTCTTTTCTACTTCTTTCGATTGAGCTTGGAAGTTAGTGTAAGCAACCTTCGATTGCAACCTTCTTTGCTTATTTCGATTAGACTATGAAGCAATATGGACCCGCAGAGCAGCATGAGTGTATATCCTTCGTTCACACCCTTTTTGTATTTCATTTGAGTTTGTACAGGTTAGTTCCAACATATATTTGGACAAGAAAAGCGGACAAACAAAAAGGACAGAAACAAAGAATATAACTAAAAGGCTATTTACATGTTATGCTGAAACGAAAAACAAGTGAAAGGCTATTTACATGTTATGCTGAAACGAGAGATACAAGGTCAAGAGGACTTACCTTGCTTGAAACTAGAACTTATGTGTGGACTGGAGTTGTTATATGCTCTTGGATTCGAAAGGAGAGAGGCAAGTGTAGTGTGATCTTGTTGAATTTTGAGAATTTTTGGTATGCTTTTCTTAGGCTGGGTATGCATGTAAGGTAATATATGTGTAGTTCCCGGGCCTCTGTCTCCAGTCTCCTAGTGAATATCTCTAGTATGTGTAGTGGTGTGAGTGTGGCAAGAGTGTTTTTGATCTTTGTAGGGTTTTTTCTCTGCCCTTTGCAATGTGCCTTAGGCCTGTACTTATAGGAGTTTGAGAGGAGTGGAAATGGCAAGGGACATCCATTAACCAGGCTTTGAAGGCAAAATCAGACAAATTAAAGGATTTCCTTTTTTGGATTATCCATGCCATTTTGAAATTTTGAATGAACCTAGACATGTTTCACCTTCGAATGCCCTTAAGTCTTGCCTTTAGATTGACTCAGAGTTACTTCCTTCGAATGACTCCAAACCTTGCTCTTCGATTGGCCTTGAGTTACTTGCTTCAAATGGCTCAAGTCTTTCCCTTTGATTGACTCTAAGTTACTTCCTTCGAATAGCTCAAATTCTTATCATTGAGGCCTCTTCAATTGAGCCCCTACTCAGCTAGCCCAAACGAAAGCTCTTTTTTGGCCAATCAAAGCTTCCTTTGGCATGAATGTGCTTGTGCAGAAAGCTTGAGTATGGAAATATGTGGGATTTTGGGCCAACAAGCATCTTTGCATATTTCTCTTTTGTTTTGACCAACTAGATCCAATCTTTGACCAAACCCTTTTTTCAGACAACACTATGTGTCCTTCGAATGGGCCTTTGAATGCTTCTTCGAATGGATCGTTTATATGTCCTTCGAATGGGCCTTTTTCCTGGTGTGCTGGCAAGTTGAGGGGCCTTTGCCTTGTGAGTCGAAGGTTACATGTAGAGGCCTTTTGCCTAGTGAGTAGAAGGTTACTTGTAAAGGCCTTTTGCCTTGTGAATTGAACTTGGTCGAAGAAGACCCAGCACCCAATCAAAGCTTATTGACATGCCCATCGAAGGACACTTTGCTCTGATATGCCAATCAAAGGACACTGTTCAGATACCGATTGAAAGACACTATTGACATGACAATCGAAGGACACTGTTCAGATGCCAATCGAAGGACACTGTTGACATGCCAATCAAAAGACATTTGGTTGACATGCCAATCGAAAGACACTTGACGGTCATTCAAAAAATTTCATTTTCTTTAGGAAAGTGTTTGTAACCACCCATGTAAGAGGATATCTTGGAAAACATGAGATGGCAAATTTTGGGGTACAGCAGATGCCCCTGTTCAATCTTCTTAAACCTGGAGATTTAGATTGGCTTGTTTGCCTTTTGTGACCTGAAGGTGGAAGATGATTGGACACTAGAGTGCCCAGAAATTTGCACTCGATGATGTGATGGTTGATTATGTATGGAATGGGCTTAAAGATGCCATTTGGAGAAGATGACTGAGAGTTGTCGGAGATGGGATTAAAGATGCCATCCAGAGTAGGTGCTAACTTCATAAGAGGTCCCTTTGTGGGGAATTCTTGTTCCTGCTATCTGAGGAGGAGTGCATTGGGGAATGCTGATTTATGTTGTTTTCCTGCTTGAGGAAAACTCTGTGGGGCATAGAGTCTAGGAACTTCAGTTGTCCATGGCTCTACTGAGGATTTATCTCTCGACTGGAGAGATGAAAGTTTTATGTTTTATGGTTGAACTCCAGGCTTCACAGTAACTTGCCGGGAAGGATGAAGTTAACGATTGTCTGTAAAGGTATTAGAAAGAGCCTGTGTAGGGTTATTTCAGGATGAGTCTGTGTTAGACTGCATCTGGATATATATGGGAAGGAGCCCGTGTGAGATTGCTTCGTCTGGTCATGTAGATAGTTATCCTGTCTGGTTTCAGGTGTTAATCTACAAATCAGTTGTTCACAAATAGTTGTCCTGTCTGGTTTCAAGTATTAATCTGGAACCTGTTTTTGTTGGTCGTTGAGATAGTTGTCCTGTCTGGTTTAAGGTATTAATCTCTGACTTGAGAAAGGAAGATAGTTTTCCTGGCTTGTTACAGGTATCAATCTTCAATCTGGTCATGTAGATAGTTTTCCTGGCTTGTTACAGGTATTAATCTACAGTCGGTCGTCCACATATAGTTGTCCTGGCTTGTTAAAGGTATTAATCTGGAACTTATTTTTGTCGGTTATTGAGATAGTTGTCCTGTCTGGTTTCAGGTATTAATCTCTGACCTAAGAAAGGAAGATAGTTTTCCTGGCTTGTTACAGGTATTAATCTTCAATCTGCTCATGTAGATAGTTTTCCTGGCTTGTTACAGATATTAATCTACAATCAGTCGTCCACAGATAGTTTTCCTGGCTTGTTATAGGTATTAATCTGGAACTTGAAAATTGTTGGTCGTTGAGATAGTTATCCTGGCTTGTTATAGGTATTAATCTCTGACCCAAGAAAGGAAGATAGTTTTACTGTCTTGTTACAGGTATTAATCTTCAATCTCCTCATGTAGATTGTTTTCGTGGCTTGTTACAGGTATTAATCTATAATCAGTCATCCACATATAGTTTTCCTGGCTTGTTATAGGTATTAATCTAGAACTTATTTTTGTCGGTTGTTGAGATAGTTTTCCTATCTGGTTTCAGGTATTAATCTCTGACCTGAGAAAGAAAGATAGTTTTCCTGGCTTGTTACAGGTATTAATCTTCAATCTTCTCATGTAGATAGTTTTCCTGGCTTATTACAGGTATTAACCTACAGTCGGTCGTCCACAGATATTTTTCCTGGCTTATTACAGGTATTAATCCGGGACTTGGTAACATTGGTCACATAGATAGTTTCCCCATCTAGTTTCGGGCATCGATCAGTGGCCTGCTGTACTTGTTGGTGAACCCGTCTTGCTTCCGGAGTTCATACCACTTGGTCGTGTAGATAGTTTTCTCGTCTGGTTTCGAGCATTAATCTTTGACCTACTGCATAAGTTGATAATTTTTATCTGTCTGCAAACTCAACCTGGAAAGGTAAAGTCAGTTTCATGTAATGTCATGATGTATGAATTGCATGATGCTCTCAAAATAAATGAGATTGTGATATATGAATTTAGGCTGCATATTCTATGATTTTTGTAAGATGATGTATGAATGCAATGTATGAACGTGTTAGTTGTTCCATTGCAGTGTTATTTGTAACACGGTGGGAGAACTGACTTGGGTGTTTTGTGTTTGATCGCAATTATTACGGACAACAAGAGTCACCACCGACTTTTCTTTTATGAAAAGGGAAGGTATTAGCACCCTTTTCATCTGTAGTTATCTATGGGCTCTTAGTTGTTTTCTAGATCACTTGCTTTTGTTTGAAAATGTGGTTGTGGTGTGGGTTTTGAAAGTATTTTGAAAACGTCTTTGTAATGGCTCTCGTTTCCATAAGAACGCGTACAAAGTGTTTTGTCTTTTTGAAAAAATGTTTCACAGTGAAAATGTGGGTGTATAAAATGTTTTTATTGTGAGTAAGCGAGAAACTAGTAGCATCCTACCTACTCAAAAGGTCTTAAACGTTATTTTCCTTCTCCTTTAGAT